GGTCATTGGTGGGGGATGACATGGTTGTGTTGAATTGTCGTGTATGCATTACACCTGTGTTGATTGAACATTGTATGTAATGAAATACTATGATACATTATATATGTATAAATTGTTAGGGAGGAGAAAGAGGATATACTCCAGTGTGTGTGAGGAGATAGGAGATGAACTCCACACATACTTATGTGTTCATATACTTTAACACATTGCTTATGTATTTTGATAGTTTATGTGTATGTATTACACTTGTCGGTTATACTATGTTGTATTGTGATTCTTGGTGTTATACCGTTACATTCCAGCTAGCGCCTGGAGAACTGACAATGCCGAGAATAGAAGGTACCACACCCTTCCAACTAGCGCCTGGTAAAATGGCATATTGCTGTGAGAGTTGTATCCTTGGCTTACTGTGTATATAGCCGATAGAACAGAGTTTTTATTGTTTTGTCTCAGTGTATCTGAGTATATCATGGATTGTGATGATTATAGTTTTGGAGGGCCGAGTTGCCTCATTTGTTGATTATATACATGTTGATGATTTGTTATCTCCCTTATATTGAAGGCATACATGTATAGATATGAATGTATTGGAAATAAACCAAAATACCATTGTGAGATTTTGGGAAAGTGTGAAGGAAAATTGGATATATACTTTAACACATTGCTTATGTATTTTGATAGTTTATGTGTACGTATTACACTTGTTGGTTATACTCTGTTGTATTGTGATTCTTGGTGTTATACCGTTACATTCCAGCTAGCGCCTAGAGAACTGACTACGCCGAGAATAGAAGGTACCACACCCTTCCAACTAGCGCCTGGTAAAATGGCATATTGCTGTGAGAGTTGTATCCTTGGCTTACTGTGTATATAGCCGATAGAGCAGAGTTTTTATTGTTTTGTCTCAGTGTATCTGAGTATATCATGGATTGTGATGATTATAGTTTTGGAGGGCCGAGTTGCCTCATTTGTTGATTATATACACGTTGATGATTTGTTATCTCCCTTATATTGAAGGCATACATGTATAGATATGAATGTATTGAAAACAAACCAAAATACCATTGTGAGATTTTGGGAAAGTGTGAAGGAAAATTTGGTATTCGATAGTATATTTTGAAAAAGGGAAAACCAGTTGTAAGTATGGAAAATGGGAAAAAGATAATGGGCTTAGAGAAATTGATTTCCTAAGAAGTTGTTATTGTTGTGAAAGTTTGGAAACAAGGGTTAATGAAATGAAATGAAAGATGAATCGCTTATAGCGCTGAATGGATTGACTGTTTTGAGAAAAACTTATACTTATGTATACTTTTGTATAAACTGCCACATTATTATCCTAGTACGAAATTGAGCATTCATGATCATAGCTATCTGTAAGTTGTTATTGTTGAGGATCGTGTAGAGACCCCTACTGGACTATATGTTCATCCCACGTTGTTGAATCCTTTTCAGGAGTTAAGCAGGATGTGTTACAAGATTTGGACCTTCTTACTTGTTGGCCACGGGGCCTCTTTTGTGTTGGCCGAATGCCATATATGTAAAAGGATTACACCCTTCTTTGATTCTTTAATGATGTAAGCCTTCGGGCATTCTATTCAATATGCTCATGTTGTATTTAATTTGCATTCGGATGAGAGAATTGTTATTTACTTCTATTCATGGGACTGAAGAGTTTATTTCTGCATGTTATCTCTGAACTTGAATTAAGCTAATGAATTTGGTAATGACTTCGAGTAATAAAAAGTGGGGCGTGACAACTTCGTTGTGTGCAGTGAAGATCGTGTTTCAACACCGTCGATTTTAAGGGTTTCATTTCTTTTTCTTCTCCAAACTTGAGGTAGGGGATTTCTTAGAGTCATATATATATTTTTGCAAGATTTTGATTAAATTTTCAGAATTTCTCTTGTGGATCTTGAAACTTGATGTTTGGCTCAACAATGTGGGTAGTTTGGGAGTAGATTTGTTTTCATGTCTCCCTTGAAATAATTCCTTGAGGGTTTGAACTACATTAATTGAAAAAGAGTTGTTTTTGAAGAAATTCTTGCAAGTGATTTGTGTGTGTATGTTATTGTGGTGAAAAAACCTAAAATTTGGGGGTTTTCAAAATATGTTGAGAATATATAGTTGACATTGTCTAAATACTACTTTGTGTGCAAAAGAGTAAAGGATAATGAAATTTCTTATATATGATGATGAGTTTCATGAAAAAGGAAAAATGAAAATATGTTGATATTGGAAGTTGTTGTTCAAATGTTGTTTTAGTCCTAAAATGACTAATGTGTTGAGAATAAGAGAAAGGTGGAAACATTTTTATTTTTGAACTTGATTTGATAGATGGTTCTCTTGTGAAATCACCTTGGAAATGAGGAAATTGGTGATATGGATCTTCATGGTTAAATCATGGGATAGAATTGTTAATGGAAAGGATATTGCATTGCATTGAAGTTGTTGCATTTTTATCTCAATTCATTTGATTATAGTAAATTTTGATTATTGGATTTGAAAACTTTTGCATTGAGAAAAGCACGTTGTGAAATAAGTTTTCATGGAATTGTTTTGGTATTAATACGTCGATAAGTCCGAATAGGAGGTGTAGATGAAATTGATTAAGCTGGCCTGAGTAAACGCGGTGAAAGACTGAAAACACGCGCGGATGAAGTACCACTTCCCTTCCGATTAGCAACCGGTAAAGTGGGGTTTTGATAGTGCTAATTATGCCTACTTGCAGACACCAACCTAGGGATTACCTAAGTCATATTTACTGCCCCGTTGGATTAAATGGATAAATTTAAAAAAGTTGAGATTTTAATTTGTCATTGAGCATGATGGTTTCAAAAGGTGAAAAATGTGGGGCTTGTTTGGTTTGTTTATGGGAGAGTTGTTTTTGAAAAAAAATTTGGGGAGAGAGTTTAGAAATTTTTTTGGTTTGTTTGGTTGTATATTTTGGGAGAGTTGTTTTTTTGGGAGTTTGGGATGATTTGATATTTTGGAAGAATTTGAGTATATGTGTGAGAGAAAAAGTGATTGAAAATGAGAGAAGAGAGAGAAAAAATGATTGATTGATGTGTAAGAGAGAGAAAGTGATTTTGGAAATTTTTTGAGAAAAACTCAAACCAAACAATTTTTTAAAATTTTTTTTCTAAAACTCATCTCCCAAATGTAAACCAAACATACCCATGATTTTTTCTTCAAAATAACATAGCATGGCATGTGCGTTTTATTTTGCGAAGCTTGCATAAAATGTATATAATTTGTTAAGAACTCTCTACTGGGTTTTATACTCACCCTATGGGATTTTGGTGCAGGAAAACATGTGGTGAACCCGCCAATCTAGGGCGTGGATGTATGTATCTAGAGCACAAGGCTCTGTTTTGTTGTGATTGTATTTTTTGTAAGCTTAGGGCTATAACTGTTTGGGTTCGAGAGACCATTTTTGTATAACCGGGCTTAAGCCTTGGAATATGTAAGTCCCTTGAGGGTGTTTTATACATTTTTGGATTTGATGTTCTACATGCTATAGATTCATGTATTTGATATCATTGAATGTATAATTCGCATGTGGGACCATTTTGTACAAACTTTAATAATTAATGATATGACGATTGGAGAATTGCTATTATGCTTTATTGAATATTGGTTGATGTACCTAAATTATGTTGGAAAATTTTGGGACGTTACAAACACCATGTTCCTCTGGCATAGCCCAACACTATATCCGGTGTTGGTGTAGCTCGACCCAACAACATATCCCGTGCTGGTGTAGCTCGACCCAACATCATATCCCATGTTAGGGTAGCTCAGCCCACTATTCAACACAAATCTCCCTCTCACTTAGTGTTTGCTCGTAATATTTTCAAATTAGAGTTTTTAAGTCACGATTACATAGCAGTATTTCCTCCATGAAAACAAACACATCACGAAGAACTAACATGGAAATCGTACCCATTATTATTACTTGCAGTCATTTGTTCGTCGATGAGAAATATCTTTGAGCTTTTATCACAGCTTTTGATGAGGAACCAAGCATTAATACCCGTAATAGATTCTTCCAAACACATTGGATTTTAGATAGAATATCATTAATAAGAATCTTAGATATACGACGGTAAGCCTCATGTGTTAAATGTAAACACTACAAGAATTAACACTTTTGGCAACAAAAAAATTGGTCACTAAAAGTCTATTTTTGGTCGGCAAAAGTTATCCACGACCAATTTTTTTGGTCGCCATTTTGGTCGCCAATTGAGGGTCGGCAAAAGTAATTCGCGACCAAAATTTTAGTTGGTCGGCAAAAGTTGGATTTGCCGACTAAATTTTTGGTCGCTAAATATTTAATTACCGCGACTAATTCATTTTGTCGCTAAAACACTTTGGTCGCGAAAAGTGATATTTTCCCGACCAAATATCTTAGTCGCCAATTGACACATTTCGCGACCAAAAAGTTTGGTCGCCAATTATCACATTCAACGACCAAAAATTTTGGTCGCCAATTGTGACATTTTGCGACAAAATTTTGGTCGCCAATCATGGCATTCTGCGACCAAAAAATTTTGGTCGCCAATCGTGACATTCCACGACCAAAAATTTTGGTTGCTATTTGTTACTTTTTGCGACCAAAACTTTTGGTCGGCAAAAGTGAGATTCCACGACCAATACATAATTCATTAACATTCGACACAATACATAATTCATTAACATTCGACACAATACATAATTCATTAACATTCGACACAATACATAATTCATTAACATTCGACACAATACATAATTCATTAACATTCGACACAATACATAATTCATTAACATTCGACACAATACATAATTCATTAACATTCGACACAATACATAATTCATTAACATTCGACACAATACATAATTCATTAACATTCGACACAATACATAATTCATTAACATTCGACACAATACATAATTCATTAACATTCGACACAATACATAATTCATTAACATTCGACACAATACAACTATTCTAAGTTTTCATTCACAAGTCACATCCATCTAGCATAACAATTTGAAACATAACTATTTGTTATCCATGCGCAGCTATCAACAAATAAAACTACTAATATTTGTTATCCATACACATCCATCCAAAAATATTTAATCCTCCCAAAAATGCTTATACTGCCAAGTAGTCTTGTACAATTTAGCTTCGTGAATTTGTTAAGAAATATGTTGGAGAGGGTGCTCGTCTGGTTCGTGAACTTTTGATCCACTTTTTCCAACTTTTGATCCACTTTTCAATGATGCCCCATCGATATTGTTTTAGCCACTTCAAATGTTTCTGGGAACAAAGAAAAATTATGTCACTATGAAATAACACTACCGAACAAAGATAATAAAACCTCAACAAACTTCACTACAACATGCATGTTCTTTTCACCAAGCATCAGCCTTGTGCTTGATCGTCCTAAAGAACTACCAAGCATGTTCTTTTCATTCTCAAATTCATCCTTGAACGCATTCCATAAAGTCATCCACTGAATAACCTCCTTGTGACAGATAATGACAGCAGTGAAGTGCTGTAAAATAAAATGAAGTAAGATGATTATAATGAGGTGCAGACTTTCTGTTTGAAAACCAATGAGCTGAAAAGGCTCAAAATGGGAAGAAAAGATAAACACAACAACATTAGACAACTTGCCTTTCTCTTCTCATAGAATTCAAGTATTACATGGAAGAATTCTTCAAGAACTACAAATCAAAATAATTAAATTGTAAATAACCTGAAAACTTTACTAAAAAGATATATGGCAATAGATATGTACAATTGTTACAGATTCCAATCAATCAACTTTATCTGCATACAGTTGGACGAATCCAAACTTTACTAAGAATGAACCCACAATTCTTACTAGTAGGCATTTTCTTCTAAAAAGGGAGATGAGAAATTTAATCTTAAACAAGGAATGCTAGCAATACATTTGTTTTGGACATTAATCACAGGCAGCTTCTTGTGTTGGTAATCTCCATCTTCTTGGAAGAACTTTGTCCCATTTTATCAATGAAACTCATAGCACTCCCGTCATCCCAAATGCCCAACTGTCACATCCATAGGATCTCAAGAGAGGATTTGAAGAAACAAAAAGATCAGACTAAGTAACTTTGTAATTAGCAATCATAAAAGTGATGTTTAATAATGGAAAAAGGGTGGAAATTTGGATATTAACAAGGGGCTACTTACCGGGAACAGGTTATAGTAGTAATCTCCTATTGTCAACATGCTGTTCCAAGAGACGAGACCCAAGTCCTAGAATCCAACATACTACCATTGCACCATACTTCCCCTGAAATATCATAAATACGAACAAAAATCAATGTTCTGAATTATAATAAATGTAACTCTTGGCAGTGTAAACCATTGAAATTAACAAAGTTCGATCCACAAACCTGAAGCCTAGTTGGAGATCCACTTGTTTCAGTAATAGTCATGACTTCTTCTTCAGAACAATAATAATAATCTTAATACTGAGAGGCAAATGACGTTATTGTAACATATGTTTTGAAATGTCATTTACTTGAAAAAAAAAAATACTATTGAGAAGAAGAAAGAAACATAAACCCAAATATCTGGCAGTGGTTACCTTCAAAATTGAAACTACTACACAGATGAATGCTGTACGACATTCCCCACAAATGAAAAGTCCATTTATGCTAGAAAAAAGGGGGCAATTTCAACCAAGTAGAATGTTGATTGAAAAGCAATGCAACAATCATCAACTAAAACTAATCTTTAAGAATGCCAGAAAAAGATAGATATCTCATTTATCAAAATTTGAGCATTTCAAGGAATAAAAACAAATAACTAAATATATGGTTGAAAAATATTACAAAAATGAAACTGATAGCAAGAGGGTAACAGGAAATAGACTCATACATACATTGTAATGCTTTTGCCATGAAACGATCAATAAAGAACATAGACTTTAAAAAAAAATACTCAATTCAAAAAATTTAATGGGTATTCACAGCTAGCATCTTATTATGATTTTAATTGGGTATGTGATAGAGATACTCACAATATCTCCAAAGTCTGCAGTAGTCCTTTTGGTTGAAGGAATCTTGCCACTGAGTTCATTGTTATTAAAAACCCTGCTCAAATTAATTCACAAGATGACATTGAAATTAGGGCTCAGATTGAGAGAAACGGGGCTGCCCAGAAATTCAGTCCAACATTCCTCATCATATTATCTAATTAAAAAAAGAAGAGAACACCCATTCTGTCAACAGTTAAAAGGCAAAATTGAGTGGGACTTGTCATTATATATGAATTCATTCAAACGCATATTTAAAATATTATTCTCGTAACAAATGTTGTTCTCTTTGTCACCATGAAAGCTTGTTGCTTATACTTGCCATACGGGTAAGCAAACTGCATAAATGCATAACCTGTTGTTCTGTCATTCAAGTGCATACCAGAGACTCGTGAATAAATTGCTGGTTCAAAGGAACTCACACATGTATCAGAGACATATTTGAATTGAAAAGTGAAGTCTCTGCCAATGGTTAAAGTAATTGCCGAAGCTACTGAGTTTCTTTACGAAGTGACTGAACTTCTTTCATAATCTCAGCTTGATTTTCCAGGATTGAGCTCATCACACCAGACATTTCCATCTGTAGAGTGATACAGTGAGTGGAAGCTAGATAAAGAACAACAAAAGCAAAGGAATGAACTTGAATACTATATATATATATATACCTCCTGCATATGAAACTGCCTTAAAATTTCAATATGGAGGTTCCTCATATCTTCATGAATGGATTTCTGGAAGGCACCAAGAGTTTCTTCAAGAGTGCGTTGAAACAGCTGAAGTGTAAAAGAGGACCCCTGCTGTGTGTGAGGTTGAGATGGGATTCTCGGGGGTTGTGAAACTCCTCCCTATTACAATACTACAGGTCAATGACCATTCTATTTTAACAAAAAATGGCGCTAGCTTTAAGAAATCTGGGTGAAAGGTTAAGATGTTGAATTATCACAAAGTGTAAGTCTACCTCACAGTTCCAGGAATAAACCTAAATTTAAGCTCACAAAATGTAAGTCAAGTTCACACCTAAATTTAATAGATGGAGGCACAGGAAAATTGTACAAACAAGAAATTAGATAAATCCATGATGGTGATCTTACATTCACATATGGAAGAGTCCTTTGTTCTGTAGCAGATAATGTGTTCGTCCTTGATAACAAGCTATTCAACAGTTCTTCTCTCGTTTCAGCTCCTGTTTTCTTTGTTTTTGGTGAACCCACCGAGAGGGATGTTCCATCACTAAAGGCCAGATTAGTACTCATCCTTTCAGCATAAGTGGTAAATTTTCGAGGGTGGTTTAATGCTGACCCCAAAGAATCAAGGTTAGACTGTCCTGAAGTAGTACTTTTTGTTCCTAGAGAAAGGGACATAGAACTGAAGGGGATATGCTCTGGAAATCCCAGTGAAGACTCTTGATTGGAGGAGTTGTCTCTGTTGCATAAATTTGCCGAGATCAGGTTTGAACTTGTTAGGTAACTCATACTTGTCTGGCTAGTTGCAGAAAATGAAATACTTACAGCCAGAGGGACAGAGGGAAAACCAAAAACAATACAAAAAGAAAATGAAATAATTATAGCCAAACAGTTCACTTCCCATCTCAATATGATGTTAGGGGCATCATGGACTGAAAGGTCAATTTTGATCCTCAAGTGGAAAGGTATACAGAATTTTTTATTTTTTTTTGATAAATTGGAAAGATATACAGAATTATTTAAATGATGAGTAATTAATGCTCTCAATCTAAATTAGTAAATGTCAGGCAGCAAACAAGTGATTCAATAAAATTGAAAGGGAATTAGAGAGGGGCAAAAAGTAAACCTGTTTGGAAGTTGAACTAGGATTCCAGTCAAAAATTGGATGATCACTACCACCTCCTTCCTCTGAAAGAGGAAATCTCCTATTAGATGAAGGAAAGAGCAAAGAAGGTTTCTTATCAACTCGAAGATGATCTTTTTTTACACCCTCATGCTGATCCCAAAGTTTATCAAGCGATGGTGTAATAGGTTGGACTTTCACAAGTGGGGAAAACACTTTCATATCATCCTTGAAATTATAATTATGAGGAGCATGTAATCTCGTCAAATTTCCACCAGTCCACAAAGTGCCGAAAAGTGGTGTTTCTTCTGTTGTAGATGAATGAAGCGAGCTTAACATAAATCCACTACTGGTTGCTAACATGGAATATGACTCTATAGAAGGGCCTGAACGACCAGGGTTTCGAGAACCAGCTGTCGTTATAGAAGTTGAAAGGCTTGATGATGTCACAGAAGGGAGTGGATCAGGCATAAGGAGTGAATCTTCAACAGCACCTCCCAGAAGAGCAGTCTCAGCTGTGCAATTGTTTTCATTTACCAAAACTAGTTTTGATCTTTGTCAGCAGAGGCTTGTGACGGCCTGATGAAAATCATAATGCTTGAACTTTGCCAGAACATACTTTTTATAAACATTAATAACCATAATGATAACTTAATACCTGTGATTCATTGACCTTTATTATAAACACAAACCAAAAGTAATGTTTGAACTTTGCCAGAATATACTTTTTACGGCCCGCTGAAATTCATAATGCGCTGTCAATGATAAACATGAGGATAATAAGTGTAATTTATGGGAAGACTCGTTAATCAGTTGACCGTGATGTCAATCTAAACTAAATTTAAGAGGCAACAATCTTGGATGGACCATTGACGAACATCATTATATAACTTCCCATGAAATGAGCGTGTTTTGCAACATTAATAACTATTTCCTCTTCTTTCTTTGTTTTTCCCCCTCATAAAACATCTACTAGAAGAGGCACATCCATTGAATCACCTCTATTGATGGTGCTAGTTCGCTTCATTCAAAAGTCATCCTAGAAGAGGCCCATCCATTGAATCACCTCAACTGAAAAATTGAGGGCAACACGTGTAAATAGCAGTTATAAAGAGCATCCTCTCAATACCTCATTAACATTAGATATTGTTGAGCACATTTTAAAAACACTATCAATTGAGGGCAACACATGTAAATAGCAGTTATAAAGAGCATCCTCTCAATACCTCATTAACATTAGATATTGTTGAGCTCATTTAAAAAACACTCTATCTCTTCTGAATGAATGAATAGCTCATCGGATCTCTAGAATTTATGGAAAAATACATATTACCTGAAGAAAAATGAAATTTCTCACACACATTCATAAGCTATATCATGCAAGTATATGCCAAGCATATATAGGACTCTAAACTTAGATCTCTTTATCTAAATAACAACAGATTGAAGAAAGGAAATTGACCTCAGAATTGCCATATGCATGAAGTTCAACCAGAGGTTGTGGTTTTCCACGAACATCATAGAACACCACTCGCCCATTGCTTGTTCGAGCAACCAGTATCCAGCCATCATCTCTGAATGCCAATGAAGAGAAAAGTGCATCATAAGAAATGCAAGATGCGAGTTTCAAGCTTTAGTGTGAAAAAGTACAATTTTAGATTTAGTTTTCAAACCGGGAGTCTCGTACTAGTTCCGTAAGTTTCCACAACTCACATTGGTTCCTCCCAAGGTGTTTGAGGTGTTCCCTAGGCCGTCTCACAGCTGTTGCACGATTTTGGCCTCCGATGGCCTATTTTCAAGCTTAAGTATAAAAAAATGCATTTTTCGACTTAGTTTTCAAACCGGGAGTCTCGTGCTAGTTCCGTAAGTTTCCACAACTCACATTGGTCCCTCCCGAGGTGTTTGAGGTGTTTCTCGGGCCGTCTCGTGGTTGTTGCACGATTTTGGCCCCCAATAGCCTAGTTTGAAACTTAAGTGTGAAAAAGTGCAATTTTCGACTTAGTTTTCAAACCGGGAGTCCCGTGCTAGTTCCGTAAGTTTTCACAACTCACATTAGTCCCTCCCGAGGTGTTTGAAATGTTCCCTGGGCCGTCTCATGACTATTGCACAATTTTGGCCCCCGATGGCCTAGTTTCAAGCTTAAGCGTTACAAAAGTTCATTTTTTGACTTAGTTTTCAAACCGGAAGTCCCATGCTAGTTTCGTAAGTTTCCACAACTCACATTGGTCCCTCCCGAGGTGTTTGAGGTGTTCCCCAGGCCGTTTCGTGGCTGTTGCATGATTTTGGCATCTGGTGACCTATTTTCAAGCTTAAGTGTGAAAAAGTGTATTTTTCGACTTAGTTTTCAAACCGGGAGTCCCGTGTTAGTTCCGTAAGTTTTCACAACTCACATTGGTCCCTCCCGAGGTGTTTGAGGTGTTTCCCAGGCCGTCTCGTGGTTGTTTCACGATTTTAGCCTCCGATTGCCTATTTTCAAGCTTAAGTGTAAAAAAGTACATTTTTTGACTTAATTTTCAAACCGGGAGTCCCATGTTAGTTCCGTAAGTTTTCATAACTCACATTGGTCCCCCTCGAGGTGTTTGAGGTGTTCCCTGGGCCATCCCATACCTGTTGCACGATTTTGGCCCCCGAAGGTCTATTTTCAAGCTTAAGTGTGAAAGTCACTTTTCATTTGGCTTATGACAGAGATTAAGCAAATCCCAATCTCCTTGTTAATTTCTCCGATCCGATTTTGTGCACGTGGAAATCTCCTATTCGATGAAGGAAAGAGCAAAGAAGGTTTCTTATCAACTCGAAGATGATCTTTTTTTGCACCCTCATGCTGATCCCAAAGTTTATCAAGCGATGGTGTAATAGGTTGGACTTCCACAAGTGGGGAAAACACTTTCATATCATCCTTGAAATTATAATTACGAGGAGCATGTAATCTCGTCAAATAATGAAAAAGGTGTTGTGTGTGATTTTTAAGCTCAACATCTACTTATCTTTTTCCATTTCAATCTCTCTTTTTTTTACCCTCTTTGTGAAGTTATTGTTTTTCCATAGTTTTTATTCATCAAGAAATCAATGGATGTGATTAACCCTTTTTCTTGGTAATTTTTACTAATTATGATAAAATTGTTATTACTTGAATTCTGACAAAATACAAACTTGAATGCTAAATAAAAATGGGTCCTAAGGGTAGGATAAGGTATTCCAAATCTGAATGTCAACCATATTTATGTAACTACCAGCAGGTTTAGGAGGTCAGATCAACAAGACAATTGAAGGACATAAGGGCTACATGGCTGCAGACATATCCACAGCATGGGCAATTGGCTAAAGCATTACAAGTCAAGGTAGAGCTGCAGCCATGCCCACAGCTCAGAACAACAGAGCAGCTGCAGCAGTTGTAGCCACAGCTCAGTCCAACAGAGCAATTACATCAGATTGCAAATACATTCAAGTTCTTCTCTGATTTTCTTTAATTTTAACATGAGGACCAAGTGTAAAGCAACAGCCAGCAATCTTTCAATTGAATTGAATGAAATCACAAGCTTTAATAACATATGGCTTTAACCAATGAAACCAAAAAGGAAAATAGTAAGTAAAACTTATAGGAAAATGCAGACCAGTTTAAGCATTCTTAAGGAGAACTATGTCCATGTGCATTTGTTTTTATATAAAGGTGCCTATGTGTGTCTCAAGGTGAACTTTCTGCATGTGTGCAAAACTAGAAATTATACTTTCTACAAGCTATCACCGCTACCAAATGAAGAGTTCAAAGGAGAACTTCTTCAAGTGTATGTTCGGGGACTATTAGCTTCAGATGGAATACCATCACTCCTTGATTCTGTTCTCCACTTCCGTTGATGACCACACGAAATTAATGCTTTTAAACAAATAAACCATTGCTCAGCTTCATCTTTATCTTTACAAATCTGGAATGAAAGTCATTTACCAAATTACAAATAGAGTAAAATATATATCTATTTGGAAACTACTCTAAAATAGTATAACAGAATTGGTATTTTAGGAAGATCATTCCAGCAACTGAAAATTAATAAGGAAATGGATATGTCAAATGAGATGCTTACCAAATCTAGTGACCTGTCATTCTATATAAGAGAGGACTGGTACTCCTTCTCAGGCCGTGGATACCTTTGAAAGATCGGCTAAAAAATGTTACACGATGAAATGAAATTTTAGGGCCTTAATTTAGTCAATCCATATCAAGAAGAATTTATGTTTTATTAGAAGTGCTGAAACTAAGTCTACAAAAACTAGCCGGCAATACAAGGGCAAAAAGGTCAGTCAAGAACACAAAAATTCTAACAAAATTCACCATCTCCAGGTCTGTTGCTTCCATCAACACCACAACAGAGGTACAAGATTAAAAGACATCAATGAAACTAGTAGCAACAAAACAAATACAAGGATTCAGAACTCAAGAAGCTCAACATCAAAAAATAGATAAGAGTAGTGAAAGTTTTCTCTTTCCTTCTTCCTTTTGAGACACAAAAGAAAAACCAGTAAAGGTTTTTGGAACAAGAATACGATGACAGGTACAAGCAATGTCCATTACCTCAAGGGACTAATTCTTATTGCTAAGAATTCTCAATATGATCATTGAATGCTTAATTTGTTGCAGAAAGCTAACAAAATCATAACTAAAGTGGCTTCTATTAGTTTCATTAATTTGAGTGAAAAAATGCAGTTTTTAAAATGTCATTTCATTTCTGAAATATTTTCCAGATTTTCAATCCAGAACTGAATTGACAGATCTAGTGGATGAACCTAATAGAGGAATTAACACTAAAATAGAAATCTGGAAAGAACAAAAATGCATTTGGCAAGGAAAAATCAATTAGGGCACATAAATTGCAATTTATAGGGCAAAGAGAGAGAAGAACCCCAGCTGCGAATTTGTCAATAGAAAAAAGAAGCTAAAATTATTGAGGGAAAAACAATGAACCATAACCATAACTACCTAACTTGACTATAACTGTCTAACTAAACCATATAGTTAACCTTTAACAAACTAACAGCTAATTTGCCACTTGCTTTGCAATTCACACGTTCTTGAAATGAGAGAGAGACTTCAGCTGATGAGAGAGGGCTGCAGCTGAGGCTGCAGCTACTGTAGCATTAGCAGCTCTGTCTGTTCTGAGCTGCAGCCTTCGCTATGGCTGCTAGCTGCTAAGGTGTGGCCTTGGTTGCTGGACTGTGGCCTTAACTGCTCTGCCTTATCACTGTGGCCTTGGCTGCAGCTATCTAGTTTTCACTGCCTTGACTGCTGTGGCCTTGGCTATGGCTCGCTGCTGTGGCTGATCTGTATCACACACAAGGATACCAAATAGCCATTCTCACTTTAATGAGATCACACAGCCACCCTAACCTTCACTACTTCACCCAACTCAACACAAGAAGGCTGCCCATTATTAAATACACAGTCATTCTTGAGTTTCCATCTCCTCTCTTCTCTCCCCAAAAACCTTCATCCAATGTTCCTAAATTGGAGACCATTGTTGAAGAAGGATCCAACAAGTTTGACCTAGTGCATAACCACAAGTTGATGTATCTTCTTCCTGTGGTTCTTTCTATTGTTTCCTACATATTGATAGACAAATACATCATTGCTTGAATTGTAGTCCTTTTCACACATATCATATCCCTCCTTTGATGGACGAAGAACCCCTTTGTCGTTCTACCTCAAAACAATCCCAACCGTTTGATCATTTGATGACCTGAAGCCATGATCTAATTGCTATGAATATTTCGGGACAACAAGACAGATGAGGTGAGATATGTGTGTCTATGAATTTGGTTGAGATTGTACCTGCCCTTTCAAATCTCTCCAAAGACATTCATTCTATAAAAACAGACACATTTCTTGAAGAAAATATCTAACTAGTTTGATGTTGTGCACATCATGTTTATGTGATCCTGTGTTTCTATCTTTTCTCTGTATAGCTAAATAGATATGTTCTTAATTGATGTCAACATGATTGTAAAAGGGATAAGAGAGATGTGAGCTGCAAGAAAATTAGATATGGAGAAGTGTACTAACAGATTATATGCCCCCACAAGGGTTAGGTGTTTCTAAAGATAGCATCATAAAAATAAAAATAAAAAATCCTATTCTATTCATAAATATATATAGAAATAAAAGAACTTCAGTTTTAATAAAGTAACATACAATTAATCATAAACAAGATTAAACCAAAATAAGGCTGCAAAAGACAAAATCAAAAACTTCTTGAGAGCAGTGCAAACAACTTAGCGGGAAAGCTTAATAGCTTCTTTAGGCACAAAAAATATTTTACACAAACTCAGGTTGTCAATGGAGTCTAAAATGCAATATGAAGCAAGGGATGATATCAACAAAGCTCACTTTTTCTTTCCTCCCATCAGCAAAACAAGATTAAGACAGTCAATATGTATATAAATAGCATTCTATTGAAAAGCAATCCAAGCAAAGTCGAAAAGCACAAATTAGAGATGCTGGTTATCAAAGAAATATCACCCTAACACGCAACAAAACCAACCCAACTCCATAAGTTTTCAACCGTCCAAGAACCATCTACTCCATAATCTCTGAAGAAGCCTACAAAAAATGAAGCCATAATTAACAACACTACTTCATTCATATATACAAGTAAATTTCCTTGCACCTTGAAGAAAAAAATTAGTATGTTTCTTTAATTAGGTTTGAGGGGATTGCTAAAATAAATTATCTTCATAGTTAAAAGTAACTTTTTCCGAGCAAATTTTTTTCAACAAAATAGAGTGTCAACTTGCCTATTTGCTACAAAGAGAAACCAAGAGGACCAAGATATTGTGGGGGCATCGGCATGGATTCTCCTATCATTGTGTGGTGTGTTGTCATCTATGAAAAAAGCAGTTTGAAGTCAAGTCAATGTTTCTTTTCCATTACTTCAGTGCATTCTCTAACAAAACAACATCCTGTTCTGTAGGATTTTGTTTTCCTTTCAAAATTCAATGATTGATTATAAACAAAATATGATTTAATAATTTCCACAACTAAAAAAAATACATAACAATGTGCATATAGTGCATCCAAGTTAGAAATGTTTCAACTTAATTATGTTAGCTCAATAAGCAAATTCATCCAATTGTAAATTAAACATATCCAAATAAGCATAATTTGCAACAGTAAATACTTACCAAATCATCATAATTAGCCCCAAAAAATAATTTTTTTATAGGAATCAGGCCGTCAATTTTCACCAAATCAACACCACCAAGTTCACATACTACTTCAATCTCTTAGTCATATTTTATAATCAAGTAACACACAAGTAGAACTTAGAATTTGCACGATCAATGCAAAAACGTGTGCACAGCAGTAGATATATAAACAATAAATGCACAGGTCACCAGTATAATCAATGATGCGATAGCACGAACCATCGATTTGCTGCCACAAGACATAGTGGAACATATACCCCTTGTTTGCTGTGCTGTATAAAGGAACATAATCTATGTCTGATAGACAAAAGAAAAGCTAAGACGAACAGCATTTTCTAATAAAATAAATTATGAATGGAAAAGAAAATTAAGGTAGGTTCTTTGAGAGGCAGATTAGCCAGTGATTAATGTAGAACACTGCAGCAAACATCAATTGTGGGGCCAAAAACTGATTACAAAATATTAGTATGAACAATATAAAGCATACCTGCAAGAGGGCAGTGATAGTACCAAAAGTGTTCGACAACAGTGGATCCAAATCTTGAAATAATTCTCTCTTCTAAACATATAAACAAAGACAAACACAAGGCATGAAAAACAAGGCATAGTACAAAACAATTCTCTCTTCTTTCTAGATTTTTTTCCCTTCTTGGTAAGGTACAAGAGGAAGGGGAAAAGTTGACACAGTAAATTAGCTTTAGCTCTAATTTTAGAACCTGGTTCGAGCCTTCAATCCAATTCTTAATCAAAACCCTCAAGCCTTGAATTCGAATACCCTGAATTGGTGTGAATTTGAAACTAAGATTTCATTAACTAAAAAGAAAAATTAACTTAATCAATTCAACAAATTGCCACAGTATTTGACCAAAATTTTGACCAATGAACCAGTGGATAACCCAATATATGTGAGAATGAGGAAACATATCAAAAGGATCATTATCAAAGGTAAAAAAAAAACTTGATGTAGCACCAAAAGATCAGAAGAGAAAGAAACTGTGGAATCAAATCCCAAATTAATATACCAATATTCAAAATCATATCCTAGTCCAATAAAAACCGATTACATAATGCTACCAATGCCTTTTCAATCCCCTTAAGTAATAGAAAAAACATGAGAAAAAGAAATTAGGAGAGGGTCATACCCTTTCCAGTTTGATGCCAATAAAGCCCCAAATTCCCCTGTTTAATGTCAAATAGTGAGCAAAATGAAGAAAATAATTAGCCCCAAATCGAAGGAGACAAAGAGAGGAAGACAGAGAGACACACACACACGCACAGAGAGAGAAAGAGAGAGAGGGCGAAATAGAGGACATACCTACCCGAGACAAAGCGACGGTGGTGCTAACCCTTACGGTGTGCTCACCTAACCCTTGCGTTGTGCTCATCTAACCCTTGCGGTGATGCTCTAGTAACAGAGAGGAGGGCAGCGTGAGGCGTGAGAGAGAAGAGACACAGAGGCGTGAGGCGTGAGAGAAGAGAAAGGGGGAGGTGAGGTCATGTAGGGTGAGGTTTGGAATCTGTGTGTGAGAGGAACAGATATATCTAAAGGCGCCAATATATTCATTTTCCTCTAAAAATCTTTAGCAATTAAATCATTTATTTGGTGAAAGAATTATTTTCTCACTAAAAATAAAATTATTAGCCACGAAAATAGTTTTTTCATTAAATAATATTAAATTATAAAAAATTATTGGTGAAGAAAATATATTCGTCATTAATAATTTTATTATTGGTGACCAATTTTTTCCTCACCAAAAGTCTGAAAATTTTGGCACCATCCGAAAAATTAGCGGAAAAATATTTAGTGACAAAAAAAATATAAATAATGACGAAAAATAATTTCGTCACCTAATTTTTTTATTATATATGCAGATTGGTGACGAAATTTTATTTTTGTCTCTAAAATTGGTACATTTGAAGACGAAAAATTATTTTCTTCACTAAAAGGTACGTCTTTCGTGACAAAATTTATTTTCGTCATTAGTTTTCGTCTCCAAAGACACTTTTTGTTATAGTGAACAACCACAGCAGCGAATACCCAGCAATCGCTCCCTCTGTGTGAAAGAAAGGCAGAGGGCGATGGCGATTTGCGGCGGTGGCGATGTGCGACGGATGTGAGCAACGGTGGCGAGGGACTTCGGTGAGCTAGAGAGAGTGGGCACCGATTGAGAGAAAGAACACAGAGAGGGAGAGGCGGACCGAGACATAGCAAGATAGAGACGATGGTGATTAGGGTTTTTTTTTTTTTTTCTCTGCTTTCATGGTACAAAACGACGTCGTTTTAAAATTGGCGACCAAATTTATTTGTCGCAAAAAAATTTCAATTCCCGCCCCACTAAAAATCAAATTTCTCTCCCAAACTTTTGGCGACCAAAAGACCATATTAGTCGCAGAAAAGGTACCTTCGCCGACCAAAATATTTTAGTCACCAAATCTCAATCAATGGCGACTAAAATATTAGTCGCTAAAAGTATTAATTTGGCGACTAAGTTTTTTTGGTTGCTAAAAATAAGTTTTTCGCGACCAAATTTTTGGTCGCCAAAAAATATGTGACCTTCCGCGACCAAATTTGTAGTTGGTCGGCAAAAACATATCACTTTCTGCAACCAAGTCATTTTTTGGTCGCCAAAATATAACCTTCTGCGACCAATAATATTTGGTCGCAAAAAATAATGATCATTTGCGACTAATTAATATTTGGTCGCCAAAAGATAACTTTTAGCTACCAACTTTTACATTGGTCGCGAAAAGTGGTCGCGAAAAGTGCTGATTCTTGTAGTGAAACCATCCCAGTGTATATATTTGTCTTGGGTTAAGGCAAACAGGCACGCCCTGTGATGTACACGTCCTACTAGGATCACAATTATATGACCCTCCTATACCATAACATGCTTTCAATAGTGATTGTTTGTCAAATCCTGCACACATATGTGCCAATACAATCATTAGCTGGAAAATAAATATTCATCATGTATGCAAATTATTGTAGTTGCTTGTGTTTAAACTTTTTGTAGTGTATATATATAGGAGTGCATATGTATGTAAGATATAGAATAAACTCACTCACCAAGAAAGGGCGCACGATGAAGAATTTGATTGGAATGCTTAATAGTAGTCGGCATAGAGTATGACAACCTGCGGAAACTTTTGTCTAAGAGAGCCCAGGGCTCCTTGAAGACAGTTATTTTGAAACATTGCAAACTCATTTAAACCATGCAAGCAGCCGAGATTATCATATGCTCCAGGATCAGCACTAGGCAATGTAGTCAAAAAGATGGAGAGGCATACTATAGGAAAATTTCCAAGAACTACAACTTGCATGGCACCAAGGCGTATCACTTCCTACATCAAGAAAGAGTAACATTGAAATCATATATTACCAAAAAAAAAAAAAAAAAAGGCTATTATTATAGAATCTTTATATAGAATTTATGACCAGAATAACGTGCCAATAACGTTTGAACCTATAGCAATAGTTTGCAGCAAAAGTTCAAACAACTATATATAGAGCTAGAAAGGCAAAAGCAATCAAATGAGGAGAATTTGAACAAGAGCTTACTCTAACTCCATTGATAATGACCCCAACAACATCTGGAACATGAGTTTGAATCTCCTGAATGGATTTTCCTTGAGAGAAAGCGTAATTGAAGTCATTACCTCCAATCTCACCCACATACACAATAGCCCTCGTGAGCCTTCTTACACATTCTGATAAACAATAAAGTGAAAAATAAAAAATAAAAAAATAAATTTCGATAGGATATATGCATTAGTTGTAACTTATTAGTGGCTCATAATGTTAACACTAGTTCTTGTGACACAAACCTTCTAGCAATGGGCAAGTGGAGTTCAGGAGAGTTCTAAACCAATTTAGTTGCATATTGATAATTGGAATTTGAATGCCCCTCGCAGTTAAGAAGGAACTATCGAGCACTGTGCTTCCAGCTACTGCAAAGTTGGCACCATGATCAAATGAAGCATTCTTTTCTAGATAAGGATTAAGCAACGGGAGTTGAAGAGCCAGAGCTTTAACACAACCAATATATAGTTTAGTTACAAATGATACAATTGATACTTCCAAAATTAACATCATCACATATAGCATTAATTGATTTATCTAAATTTATCACTTAATTGTAACATTTCAGTAGTTACAAATGATACAATTGATATTTCCAAAATTAACATCATCACATATAGCATTAATTGATTTATCTAAGTTTATCACTTAATTGTAACATTTCAGTAATGATAATATTTTGGGTAAAATACACCACTAGTCCTGTAGTTTTAGCCTGATTTCACTTTGGTTTAGTAGTTTCATTTCAATCAATTTTAATTTTGCACTTTCATTTCATTTCAATATAATCCATATGCCATTCTCGATTAATATTTCATACTGAAAAATAACACATGTGATGCACATGGATAATTTTTTAGGGCATTTTAGACTTTTAAAGGCAATTCATACCCTAGAAAGAAAATTAAATAAACTACACTGGTGGTTCTATAATTTTAACTGATTTCCAATTTAATCCCTCTAAAATAATTTGAACTAAATAAAAATATGGTCCCTTGTTCTAGAGTCGTTAATATTGGATTCAAAATCCTACTCTATTTGTTTTCAAGACAAGAAATTTTCAATATGGTGAACCCTAGAATCAATCGCTGGCAGTGTCATTTACTTTTTTTTTTTTTTTTTTTTTTTTTGTCAATAAGTAAGAGTATCTATATTATAAGGGTGTGTTTGTTTGAACGGGCTGACTAAGGAGGGATTAGAATCCACCAGGTTGTTAGTCGTGTGATATATTGTTCCCAGACTATTTGGTTAAACTAAATTTGTATCTCATGTTTGTTTAGTCACGGGATTAGATGTCAGGAAATGACTATTTTGTTGGATAGGATATGAATCCTATGTTTGTTTGGGATATTATGGAGAAGAATCATGTTCAAATGACTATTTTATTCTTTTCAATTATTTACTAAGTAACAGCAATATTAAATATATCTTTAATATTTTAATTTTTTTAACTAGATTAAATAAAAATTTATTTTATTTTATTTTTTCCACAATTAAATAATTTTATTTTTTCAAAATTAAATAAATAAAATATCAACAAAAATATATGTTATTTTTCTAATTAAAATTTTAAATAAATTTATTTTAAAAAGTAATAATAATTAAATAATTAAATTAAATAAAACATCTATTAAAATTTAGATAATGAAATTAAATAAAATTTTAAAATAAAACATCAATAAAATATCTATAAAAAATTATTTTAAAAAATTAAATAAATAAAACATCAATAAAAATTAAATCAAATTATTTTATTTTTAAATTGAGACATTTAAATTTAATTGAATTTTACTAAATATAATACATAATTAAATAGTAGAGGGTCAAAATGATTATTTCACCACCTAATCTCATATCCACTTATCCCTTCATTTGTGTCTCACCCCTCCATGGGACACAATAATCTAATGGATTTGAGACTAATAGTCCGATACAGAAATTTTGAATCAAACAAGGGACTATTAGTCTGAATGGACTAATAGTCTAATCTCATCCCTCAATTATTCAAAACAAACACCACCTAAGTGAACTGTTTGAAAAGAAACCAAAAGCTGTGATTGTTTGTACTTCCGCAACTTCCACGAACACACGACCCATATTGAAATCTATTTCACCGGTGGATTGCGATGCGGTGCAGTGCAGTGTAGTGCAATGTTGTTCCAAAGAATCACAGTAGATTATGATCATTAATTGATCATTGATTTTAAAATAAGAGGACATACTCAATGGAGATGTTAAAATTGTATGGCAAATTACACCCGTGGTTTCATTTTGGTTCTTATATTTCTAATTGCATCAATTTTATCTTTACAATTTAACTTTTGGCTATATGTGATCCAATAATTAACGATAGTTAGCTTTTTAGACAGAAACCCACCCGTGCCTTACACGCACGGAATGAAACCAGTCAATTCGTAAATGAAACCACCAGGGGAAGGTCTTTCCCCTCTCTCTCTCTCTCTCTCTCCTCACTTTCTCTGATTTATTTCTTTTTAGTTCTTCCCCTCTCTCTCTCTCTATGGGAATCAAACCCTTCTCTCTTCAAAGCCATCAAAGGCAGCAGCAACCACAAATTTCGACATTGTCGACTACCAGTTACCCAACGACACCCATGACGTAACCTTCTTTACCGATCAAATCCACACCCTTGTCACTCGTTCTCCCTTCCTCGTTGACTCCTAGATCTCTAAAATCACAACCATCCATCGTTTCCTTCTCCACCACCTCATCGTCGGCCTTGACATCGAGTGGCGACCCAACAACCGTTTCCATGATAACCCCGCTACCACCACTCTCCAACTCTGCGTCGGTCGCCGATGCCTCATCTTCCAACTCATCTACTCCCCCAAATCCACCAATCCCTCTTCAACTTCCTCAACAACCCTATCTACACTTTTGTGGGTGTGGGTATTCACACCGATGTGTTCTCTACTTCTATCTTGTTGGGAAAATATACAAAT